GAAAGTCAATCAGCGATACAGAGACGATCATGGTACGTTTGTCACCATGACCAGTGTTGAGAAAACCCGGATGTGTTTATGCAGGACGGCTATCCACATCGCGGTCAATGTATAACTTTCCAAGGAAATTCAAACCCGAGCCCGGGGAAGAAGCAGAACAAACCAGAGTCCCGGCAAGAAATCATAGCAGCATAATTCGCCTGTTAATCCGCATCCCTCTAGAAACATTCACATAAAAGCTGTCCTGCAATTTGCAGGTAACCAGCTCTGCCAGTCGGCCTTCGGTTATCCCCTTGTCCAGTAAGCCTGTCTCTGACAACGCTGACAAAAGTTATATGAAATTGGTAATCTTTATTATAATCATAGATAATGATTAACTGGATATAATTACAGTACTGTGATATTATTTACCATACGTTGTGGTGTAACCCAGAGTAGAATGATTCAAACTTTTTGTATCTCATACAGGGAAGATTAATGGCTCAATATCGGTTAGAACATCTAGCTCCTGTAGCCAGTGATCTTGAGCAACTCGGGACGAAAGAAAAATTCTGGTTTTCACCCATGGATACAGAACCAAGATTATGGCTTTTTAAGTTCTCAAGGGCTGGAACAGGTGAACATTGGTCTGAAAAATGTGCGGCTGAGCTTTGCCATCTACTAGGAATCCCTCATGCAGAGTACGAATTAGCTCTAATTGATGGGCGTTACGGTGTGATTTCACCTAATATGATCCCTCTCGGATACCGCATGGTTATGGGAAACGAGGTTCTTCACACTACCACAATGGGTTATCCCCAGCCATTACCGCCTGGTCAAAGTGCCGTGAGGGTTAAGGAACATACTGTTACTCGTGTATTAGGATGTCTTGATAATGATCTCGAGAAAATCCATCCACCTGTAAGTGGCTATGATTTAAAAGATTTAAACGCAGGAGATGTTTTTTGCGGTTACTTGCTGCTTGATGCATTAATCAGCAATCAAGATCGTCATCATGAAAATTGGGCTATTATGCTAAACAATGAAACTGGTGAAAGAATGTTGTGCCCAACATATGATCATGCTGCCAGCCTTGGCCGTGAAATGCGAGATGTTGAAAAGACTGAGCGTCTTACAACTAAAGATCGTAATCGGCAAATCCCTGCTTTTGTGAGAAGAGCACGTTCAGAGCTCTTTAAACTTAAAACAGACAAGAAACCTCTGTTAACAGTTGAAGCGTTCAGACATGCTATAGAAAACAGACCAAGAGCAAAAGAGCATTGGTTCGGTCGGTTAAACACGTTAACTCACGAGGATATTGTTGGCGTATTCAATAACGTACCAGCGGATTGCATTAGTGAAGTGTCTCGAACTTTTGCAATTGAAATGGTTTTAGAAAACAGAAGAAGGTTGCTTGAAGATGAATCGTAATGACTCCGTATATGTTGCATGGCAGGCTCCAGATACCCATGACTGGCATGTCGTGGGGAATTTACAGGCACGTAATGCTGAATATGTCTTCAACTATACTAAAGGTGCTTTAACTTCTCCAAAATTCATCAAGTTTAGTGGTATGAATGATTTTAACGAAACTTATGTTTCTGAGGAATTATTCCCATTATTCAAAAACAGGCTTCTGTCGCCAAAACGACCTGAGTATCCAAAATTCATTCATTGGCTAGGATTGGATGGAACAGAGGCGGAACCAATTGAGATCCTTGCTCGCTCTGGCGGTATGCGTAGCACTGACCAATTGCAAATGTTTAAGCGCATCGAAATTGATAGTGACGGATATTTTGAACATTTCTTTTTTGCGCACGGATTAAGCTATATGCCCCATTCCGCTAATGAACGCGTATCTCACCTGAATCCGGGAGATAAACTGTTCCTGTGCCCGGATGTGCAGAATGACTATGATAAAGCTGCTGTGCTCATTCGAACAGATAGCCCACCAGAAATTGTAGGGTACTGTCCTCGTTATTTTGCCAGTGATATCAAGAGAATGCTTCTTGATAACGATGATTCTATTAGTTTAAGTGTCGAACGTATCAGTGCCGATGCCCCTCATAATTACAGGCTTCTTTGTAAAGCAATCGGGAAAGTGTCGAAAACTTTCCTTGATCAGATGATTCTCCAGGAAGAATTCCAACCAGTTGTGTAAATGTAAAGCCTGGAGGATTATTCAGGCTTTCAACAACTCAGTCCGGTGTACCCGTATAAGTGCGTCTGGCGATCACTGCCGCTGCGGTAACTTGCCAGAAGCCGTAACGCGCACAAAGCACACCAGTATCATAGCAGGGTAATACCGAAGCGGCCTCTTCCTGCTCCTCTCTGAGGTTTCCCGTGAAAACCACATTACATTCCGTACCAACAAATCGTTTATCGATTATTTTTGCAGCAATATTGTTGTCCTCCAGGAAAGATAATGCACTGTCCAGACATCCCCGGGGCAACGCAATGTGTTGCGGGTAATTCT